TATTATTTATCTTCATTTTCTATGAAAAAATTAAATTGGATTCTTGTAGCTTTTTTCTTTTTCATTCATTTTTTTGTGAAAAATATCTATTTTTTATTAAATTATAAATTTTTTATATAAAATTTTATAATTAAATTTAAATATATTGATTTTTATTTATTTTTAAAAGTGTATATATATATAATTTTGATTATTATTTATTTAGTTAATATCTTAAATTTTTATTTTTAAAATTTTTTTTAATTATATGGGAAAAAGAAGGGGAAGAAAAAGAGTAATTGTGAAAACTAACACATCGTATGTGAAAATTTCATACCAAATTCATGTGAATTCTATTTTAAATAAAAATCTTTAAAAGTCCTTTGAATTCCATAAAAGTCTAAAAAAATTATAATTTAAAAATCCATAGAAATCTACAAAAGGCTTCCACTAATTTCATACAAATCTATAAAAGATCCACGAAATCCACAAAAGTAATCATTTAAAAAAAATCTATCAAAGTCTTCAAGAGTTTTAATTGAATATAGCCTACTGGACTTTATACAACTCGACATCCCAAACCTACGTAAATGTTAAAAATTTGACAACAATTTGATGTCCTACGTTTGTATATTGTAGTGGTATTAGAATTAAAAATAAATAAGCTAATGTAGCGAAGTACGCATGAACTTAAAGAATGAGATCATAATCACAAAATGTATTATAAATCATGCAGATATTCATATTAATATTTAATGAATACCTTGTTATATGTTATTTGGTACTGTAAATATATACCATTGAAATGGATGACACTCCTTATCCCCAATCGAACCAGGGAAGATACGAGGAATGAAAATCACTGAAATCTGCAGTACCCTTTAACAAATCCAATTCTAGAGTATGGAAACTCCATGTAGAGCACATGGGAGCACACCACTCACCACAACCTGTGTTGCATTATAGGCAAGCTTTGTGCGAGGTCAGTAATTGAAATTTTCATTTATCGAGTTGGGCAAAATGTATATTGTGGTTAGCTTCACCTGAGTCCAGGCTCTTGTCTGCCCTGTTGCACCGAGATTCAAGCTGTATTGAGATAGATACATCCATTTCAGAAGAATGTTCCTTTGACGCACTAATTACAAAAATAAAATTCTTTTCTTTTGAAAATGGGATTCACATCGGCTTATTACTTCCGCATCTTTCACCTACAATTGCAGAGGTATGTGTTTGATGATTCCTGACTGAGCGAAGAAGTTAGACACTTTTTTTTGCCTTTCTTCCTGCCTTATTTCAGGGCCTGTAATCTTGACGATGAGAGATAGCTCCTTGCTGTTATGGGCTTTCTTCCTCTATTAAGCTACATATTGACTAGGATATGCGTCTCTCCTCCTACTGTTGAACATTTTTGGGATATAAATCTTGCATTGCGTTATTCAAGCTCAAGCATTCTTCTAATCAAATAGAGAGGAATATATACTATGATCATTATTTTTGACATGAACTGTATTTGTAATGACATTTTCCCCTGTAAATTTTCTCTGCTCTCTCTTTGTGCTTCACCCTTATCCCTTTTTGAACTTTATTTGTGTTGGAGTTTGGTTTAAAAGAGATGAAAATTGGTTGAAGTATAAAACCATGGAAAATGTGAAAAGTGAATCTCATGTCAACTTTGGCCAAATATTCAAACTTGATCTGATAGTCAATTTATGAAAATAGACTAATTGTTTTACTCGTCGAGTAGATGATCATGGCATATTTGAAGTCTCAAAACAAACTCTGGTCCAAAATTGGGAAATAAAAATCAATTTTTAAGCCCCTATGTCCACTGCTCGAGCAGCAACCCAACGCCAGGAGAGTGACAAGGTTTTTGCTTTTGAGGCTCAAGCAGGGCACCAGCAGTAGACGAGCGATAGATAAGATTGCGTCCCTTCATGAATGTTACCGAGTTTTTGGGCATGTCTCTCCATTCACAATCATTCTTTTTATAGAAAATGATCTGTTCGAGTTCGTTGTTGTCTTGTAGTTGGAAGTGATTCTACTATAAGTAGATAATTCGTTGTATCTTGGGAGACAATTGTTATTAATCCATTAGCACCATTGCTAGACAAATTTGTTTTAAGATAACACTCCAAGACAAATTTGTTTTAAGAAACGAGTGTTATCTCATTAATCTAATTTCCTTCTTCTTCTTATTTTGGTTCTACCATCTTCATTTGTAGTTTAAAATCATTTTGCATTGTTAAACTTGTGTCAAAATTATTGTCCACATACAAAACAACCTGTATAACATATCCACCAACAATTTGTACCGTACTTGTCTTTCAGAATTAAATCTATGCAAGTTTTCCAATTATAAGTGTTATACTTTAGGTCCAATTAACTTTGAAAATAAACATTTTTTTATGTATAATTGATGCAATTTTATGATAGATCTATTATTTAATTTATTAGATTATTAATTCAATTAAATAATGAAGTCCGCAGATTTAAATCTTAGTGAAATGTTAATCATGAGAAGCTGTGATTGTGATATACAAATTACATATAATTGACTCTTAAATCTTCCATAGTCATAAGAAATAATGAGATGCAAATATCGTAAAATCATCACGTATGATATTTCTTACTTATGAAGTAAGTAGCTAATCTTATAAGTTAAAATATGGTTACACATAAAATGAACACGTTGATCTTTTATTAGATAACAAACATTGGGGATCGGTTGGAGAGATTTCACATGGATAACTATTTGAGTGTTAACTGTTAATATGTAACATTCAGTATGGTCCTTCGTTTTGATATCATCATTGTGCCCTTATATGAAAGTAATCATACTTTGGTGATGTTGCATCTTGCTTGCAAAGGATCGCTAAGATTGCTTCGGTTGAATATGTCAATAATTCTATGAAGATTGTGAATGATCAATAGAGAGAATTCATCACTTTTGATAATGAAATCCATGGTGAAGGTGTAGTCAAAAAGAAGTTTTTAACTTACATTGACTTAATAAAGTAATTAAAAATATGATCGATAATTGTAATTGATCGGATCAATTTGTCGAACGGATTATAGTTTCGCAGTAAACGAACAAGTTTTTATTTTGTCATATCACTTGATATTATTCTTCACGTGTATTGCCCTAACACATTACTAAATGTCAATATAGGACGATGAATGTGAATTGGTAATAAATAAAAGTGGTATTTTAATTTAGATCTAAATAATAATTCACGTCGTTAGGCATCATGATCAGAAATCTAATGAGTCACACCCAAAAGGAGAACTACAATATAGGCCCGAATTAATTAAATATTAGATTGAGTTAAAATTAAGAGACAGGCTAAACTTCGACTTATATTGATATGGCGCTAGGGCCTGAAATTTTTTTTTTTTTAAAAAATAAAAAAATATAGTTCTCTCAATCTTGTTTCCTGTGTAGATTTTTATTGAAAACTGGACTATTGGACAATTGTGGATTGCAGATCAGAATTGTTCTTTATGGAATTTATCAAATGTATAATTCTTTATCATAGTTTCTCTCTAAGTACAAAACAGATTCTTGATGAAAATTGAAAATTTTATTTAAATTTCACTGTGCATGTTAAGTAAATTCCCAACATCAATTGCCTTTTAACATCTCCAATTATACATGCACATACTACTTGCTTAATTTACCTTCATTAGTACTCAAATGCATATTTCTTTTTGGATTCCATTAAAATGAACTTTTTAGAGAAAATGTATTCTAAAATAGTGACTTTTTAGAGAATATATGGTTGAAAAATAAAGAAAATTTTTGGGTTTACATGTAACAATATTTTATGGAAAAAAGTGTGATTGAAAATGAGTTTTAAAAAAATATATTTTCGAAAAAATGGAACCTAAACATGGGCTAAGAGGTATCAGACTTGACTTGATTCGCTTGAAAGTACTTATAAAAGCAAAATTTTAGGTTCTTTTTTCTAGTTTGTAGTATCTATTCCTTCGTGCCAAACATTAGATATAAAGCATTTATAGAAAAGGGCCGGCCAGTCATTCATTAATTGGAAGCTTCTGAAACAAAAGTTGGAAGTTATCCCGTCCGTAAAGCAATTACATTACAACACAAAATACTTTCCCTCCTAGTGTTTCCTTTACCCCTCAAGTTTAGTATCAGAAAATATCAGTACAAAAAGATGCATCCTTTTTGTATGTGTAATTACCAGACAGTTGGGAGAGAGAGAGAGAGATGACTGAGGATTGGGGAACGGCAGTGAGAGAGAAAATGAAAGCAGATTGGGGACCAGCTGTGGTTGCAGTGGCATTGTTCATCATCTTGTCGCCGGGACTCCTAATCCAGTTTCCAGCGAGGAGGAGGACAGTTGAATTCGGCAACATGTACACAAGTGGGATTTCCATTCTACTTCATGCAGTTTTGTTCTTTTGTATTTACACAATCTTGATCATTGCCATTGGAGTTCACATACATCCTACCTGATTTTATGTTCTTCCCTGGGCATTTCATGAAATTCTATACGATTGCTTTTCATGGTTTAGTTTATATGAAGATGTACCAGTTTCCATTACTTGCAATTTAATCAAAGAGTTTTAGATCATGACCAGAAAATTGCTGTATAGTTTCTTTTATGTACTTTCTAGTTTGGCTATAGCTAGATTTTTGCCAGATGCCAGTTCTCATGTCGAGATTATTTGTCTCCAGACAAGATATAAACTATAAAATCATAGATGAAGCATGCTCCCAGTTTTACTATCTTTTATTTTAGTAACATTTTCCCACTGCTTTGCCTTTATGCTTCAATCTTGTGCCTTTGGATACTTTACTTGTATTCTATTGGAAGTTAGCCTCTGTTTGGTGGCCTTTATTTGTGAAAAACTATGTTTTGAATGAAAGAATGTATGGTTTAAAAATATGAAAAATTTTTGATTTACGTGTATAATATTTTATTGTGTGAATATACAGTTGAAAATGAGTATGAGAAATAATGTATGATAAATTGTTTGATACGGATTGAAATTTAGATCTTTATTTAAGTCAAAGTCAACAATTAACTTTAACCACATATTCCATAGATCTACAATTTTTCAATCACATATTTCATCAACGTTTATCAAAATTTTCTAAAAATCTAGTTTTAATCTCCATCAAACAAGGGCATAATCTATAGACGTTTCAATTGCCCTCTAAATTCTCCAACTATACATCCATGTCCTGCATGCTTGAGAAGCAGTGTTGAAAAAGATTGTTGAACATGACTTGCTTGCCACTCTTCCCAATTAAACGTACCAAAATAGGAAAATGGGTCTTACTGACCCCTCACTGTAGGGGTGGCCCCACATGTTAAAAAAAAACGCCAGGGCCCGCCATGTGTGTTGTCTGGCATGTAGCATGGTTCGCCAAAATAACCTTGGTAGAGAAGGGGGAGGCCAGTCATATATTCAATCATTGGAAGCTTATAAAGCAAAAGTTCAACTGTCCATCTCCGTAAATTTATTCCATTAACACAATACTTCCCCTCCTATTCTTTCTCCTTTCACTCTCAAGTTTAGCATCAATTTCTCGCGATGCCTTCTCCATAAAGAAATTGTTGAATATTTATGAAATTTAAATTATATAAACTTCACATAATTGTCAAAATCTCCATGTCAAATTACCAAGAAAAATAAATAATACGGAACATACCTTGATCCATTGATTTATATCTCTAATAATGAATTTTGAATTATAATCTTTGAATCTTGTCTTCCGTATCTTTAAATCTTGATTCTTGATTATGAATTTTTGAATTCTTTTTCTTGATTCTTGAATTCTTTTTGCGGGTTTTTTGGATCTTCCTTTTCAATATGTATTTTCTCTAAATTTTTGTGTTGATAGGATGACACAAAAAATGAGAAGTTGTATATAAATTGGGGACGTAACCCTATGTATAATTTTCATATATATTTCGTCCATCATGAAATACAATTTTAAAGAAATTCAATCACTACACATATAATCCGACCCACACTTTATTTAGATGTCTTAAGCTCAATTGCTTAATTTTTTATTAGATCACTTTAATTTTGGGCTTCACTTTGAAATAGCCAATGTGCACTAGTAATTACATATGTCGGCCCACATGACAATTTAATAATTTCCCAACAATTTCCCACTTGAACTACATATGTTACCTTATAAATGTGTATAATCTTATGAGCGCAATACTTTTGCTATCATAACCAAAAGGCATATCCGAACAATCTCGTCCATTAATTATGCTAACACAAGGCCAAAGCAGTTTTCGTTACAAATATCATAACAAAACCCATCAATGTCACATATATCAACACAATCAAATGGCATAGATTAAGTATGGATGTGTAGCATGAAAAATATTTACAAACATGCCTATTTCCAACTGGTTCTACTTTATTTTTTAATGAGATCAACTATAAACATTAATCAGAGTGAAAACTGAACTGAATACTTTATTACTAAAATAAACTTGACTGTGCACAACCAAATTCATGTGTAAAAAAATCCTAAATTAAAAATTCCTACTAAACTAGCATATTATCAAAATGTACAACATCCATGTAAGTAGTGTGCTCATAAAAGACATTGGGTAGTAACCATTTAATAAATGAATTAGTTATCATAGAGTTTGTCCCAATATGTTCTATAGCAACTTGGTCACTCTAAATTCTTTCTTTAACAACTAGAAATTTAATGTCTATATACTTAGACTTTGTTTGAACTTCTATTATTTTTTGAATACAAGATTGAAGACTTATTGTCACAAAATATCTTAAGTGGTCTTTCAATTCTATCTAAATTCGCAGCTTACTGACAATTTTTTTTAGCCATATTCCTTTATTGGATGCCTAATAACATGCTACAAACTCCGCAACCATGATTGAAGAAGCTATGAGTGTCTATTAGCACTCATTCAGAATATAACTCCTCCAGCCAGTAGGGAGACATATCTCAATGTGGATCTCTTATTGTTTTGGCATCCGACAAAATCAGAATAACCAATGATCTCCGATTGGTCTGATTTCCTGTATGTAAGCATGTAATCTTTTGTTCTCTGTAAATATTGCATAACCCGCTTGGCTGCCTTCCAATGATTCATCCCAATGTTACTTAAATATCTGCTCAGCATTCTAACAATGAACGTTATATCCGGAGGTGTGCATACTGGAGCATACATTAAACTCCCAACTGCTGAAGCATAGAGAATTCTTTGTATTTTCTTTTCTTCAATGTCTTTCTTAGATCATTGATTAAGACTAGACTTGTCTCCCTTAACAATAGGGGTACCTCCTGGTTTGCAATCCTATCTTCCATATCGCTTAAATATCATATCAATGTAGCTCTTTTGAATTCTTAATAAAAAGGAATATTCACCAAAATCTTTCATTTCAAAATTCTTTGATAGAATTCTCTTAGTTTCATACAATAAGCCTATATCATTGCAAGCAATTAGTATGTCATCAACATACAATGTCAGGAAAATATATTCATTCCCACTGAACTCGTGATTAACACAATCATCAGCTGCATTTATCTCAAAATCAAACGAGATGATTAGTTGATGAGATTTGTGATTCCATTGACGGAAAGCTTGCTTAAACACACAGATGGAATTCTTTAATTTGTAAAAACTTTTTTTTTTGGATCTCTTGACACAGTTTTCAGGTTGCACCATATATACCGTTTCATCAATGTCACCATTGAGAAACGTCATATTTACATCCTTCTGATATAGCTTAAGATCTAAATGTACAACAAGTGCCATTATAATCCTGAGAGAGTCTTTTTTCCCTTTGAGTAAATTCCTTTGCGACAAGACAAGCCTTATATCATTCTACATTACCCTTCGAATGTCTCTTAGTTTTAAATATCCATTTACAACCAATAGGTTTCATACCTTCGGACAATTGACAATCCCAAATATGCAAATATTTCAAACTCAGCTTCTTGCCTATCCAAAGTTCATTAAGGGTTTTAACAGTTGCTTTACTTGAAACTCTATTGAGAATATAAGCTACAATTTTTAATGCTTCTCCCCAGAGAGATTCTAGTAAGGTGGAATGATGAATCATACTCATTATCATGTCCTTAAGTGTTCTATTTCGTTCTTTCAATAACATCGTTTATGCTGTGAGAACCTCGCATGGTATACCGTGGGATGATTCCACATCCTTCTAGCAATTTGGCAAAAGATCGTGGACGTTGTTCTACTGATCCGTCTTATTTTGCATAATATTCACCATCATAGTTAGATCTAATATGTTTTATTCTTTTGTCGAGTTGATTTTCAACTTCAGCCTTATAATCTTTCAACATGTCCAATGATTGGGATTTCTCACGAGTAAGATATAGGTAACCATAGCGAGAATAATCGTCCATAAACGTAATAAATGATTGTTGACCATTCCAGGAAGTCGAAGGAAATGACCCACAAATATTCATGTGAATCAGTTCTAACACGTCCGAAGTTCTATTCGCACCTAATCTTTTTACGTTTGTTTATTTTCCCTTAATACAATTTACACAAACAGTTAGTCTGAAAAATCAAGCATCCAACAAGACGAGGGCAATTAGCGGCACATCTACATTGCTTCCCGCAATTTTGTTCTTCTGAAATTACACCATCTTGAAGTTCACATAAATGCTACCGAAGGGCATCTCCAATGTATATCCAAAACACCATTTTGCCTCCAATTTAGTACCATAATTTGCACCATTTTTGTGCAAAATGCTACAAATGAATAGTATTACACCAAATATGCAAAGTCAATTTTGTCGTTCTCTTTCATTTGTCAAACATATTGATTAAGGGTACTTGTGTCATTTTTGTTATATATTTTTAATACGATAAATAATAATAATAATAATAATAATAATAATAATAATTGATTATAATGCTAAAATTTGTTATTTTTAATACTATGAACAATAATAATTAAGGATTTTTTAGTTTGGTAATTATTTTCGTTAATTTAACGTAATTATTTATTTAGTATTTTATGTATTTGTAAAATAAAGATATAAATAATTTTTTCAAATAAATAAATGGTTAAGAATCGAAAAAAAAAATGAAGGAAATGATTAGACACTATTCATTTGTTACAAGTTTTGGTGTAATGGATTGAAGATGATCTTTAATTTGCTACAAAATTTGATGTAAAATGGTATAAAACTTACCTCAATTTTTGGTGCAACGATAGATATAATCTAATACAAAATCCAACTATACATACCCATTCCCTAGTTCTTATTTTTTCGGTTTCCTTGACGAACAATACACATTAGACTTGTAATTAAACTTCCCTTAACATGTCATGAAATTCTGTAGGGTTGATTTTCTTGGTTATTACATGGAGATGTTGAACTACCATTATTTGCTTTGGATGCCACTAGTTTTGATGCATGCCTGAAGTGGCTGAAGCTGAAGCTAAGGTGAATATACATCAACAAAATTAATTAATTAATTAATTTTGCTAATGATTCCTCCGTGTGTGAAACTCTAATCCTGCTACAAGATATAGGAGGACTTGTAATAACGTATTCTACAATTATAAAAATATCTATAAATTAGAGTATAAAAAAGTACTCTAATAAGTTCTTTATATTTAACAATTAATTTTACTCCCAAAAAATATTTATTGTTTTTTTCCTATCTTTTATTTTCACTACCTTCATTTCAAAATATTACTTTTCTCCATTGAAAATTGAAATACTTTTAATGTATTTAATTATTTAATTAAGTGGCATTTCAAAATCTAAACTCAAAAAGCAAAAGGAAAGATAAGACAATGTTGAGTAAGGTATACTTAATTTAATAGCACAATATTAAAGGCCGAAAAAATATAATTTTACTTGTCGAACGCATCCTTCATGGTTGCTTAGAGTTCGGAGTTTCTAGTAAGGGTGGACAAAATGATCAAACTAGGATAGATTAAACCAACCAAGCAATTCGATTCGATTCTACCAAAAATATATATATATATATATATATATATA